ATGCTGCTTGGCCTGCTGTGTTCATCCAGCCCTGCACCTTGTTGTCTAAGAGGAGAGCTATCACCTCCAATTTTACTGAACTCTCCAAATATCCTAGTTCTTGTAGAAGATATTACCACTAGATGGCAGCAGCTGCACATGTTATAATTTTATTTCAAATATGTTGATTGGTATTAAAAATTAGCTATGTTGAGAAATGAATAAAAAGCACACAACTTTCTATTCAATTGTTAAATTTTTAACAGCATGCTAATTGCTAAATAAAGAAATTGAAATGGTTTTGGCTTAATCCTTAACCAGCTTTTATAAAGCTGTACAATTCAGAAACGTTTTCAAAGAATTTCCTTATTTCAACTACATACAGTCGAAAGCATTAGATGATGTATGTGCTGTAATTGATAGTTTAATAATGGTGCCTTTCTTCAAATTAAAGACTTGTTAGAAAATTTATGATTATATGTGGGAGAAGCAGAAAAGAAAGGGTAACACTAACAACTTGGACAGAATATTTTTCAGAATGTAACAACTCACCACCAACATTGCAAAAACACATAATTTAAAAACAAGATTCCTGAGAAAGCTATATAATTAATGTGAATTTAAAAAGTCATCCATTACAAATCTCTGACAAATTAATCTTTTAACACCTCTTAAGTAGCTAACAAATCACTTAACTGCATAAGTGTTGCAAAGTTTGCTAACAAAGTGGTAGAGTATGCAGTGATTGTGAGAAATGGATTTAACAGTAATTTCAAACAGCCAGCTTTAACAATACAGGCCTATAGCCACTAATTACTATTCTGGAATTACTTTCAATGATTGAGGATGATTCTCAACAAAGGAAACAATAAACATGATAGGAAGTCACAGATAGTCAAAGAAAGGCTGTGCAGGGCATATGCAGAGGTGAAACAAAGTAGTTGCTATTTATGATCTCAAAAGCATTGTATTGACACTAAATATGAAGAAGAATGTTGCACATAAAGTGGTAGAAGCCAAATAACAAAATTATGAGGATCAGATTATGCATGCTGACATAGAAAAGGAAATTAAGCCCATGAGCCAAATTTTAAAAAAATAATTCATTCTTGGGCTTTGAGTGTCACTAGCAAAGCCAGTATTTATTATTCATGCCTTGTTGCCTTCAAGAAGGTAATGCTGAACTGCCTACTTCAACTGCTTCATTCCAAGTGGTGAAGGCACTGCCACAGCTGCTTGGAAGGGAGCTTTCAGGATTTAGACTCAGCAATGATTCGAAATCCATTGGAGTTCTCCTGCGCAGGTTCAAATCCTGCGGCTACGTTTCATTGGATGGCATGGTGGCTCAGTGGTTAGCACGGCTGCCTCACAGTGCCAGGGACCCGGATTCGATTTCACCCTCGGGCGACTGTCTGTGTGGAGTTTGCACAGTCTTCCCATGTCTGTGTGGGTATCCTTCGGGTACTCCGGTTTCCTCCCACAATCCAAAGATGGCAGGCTAGGTGGATTGGCCATGCTAAATTGCCTGTAGTGTTCAGGGATGTGTAGATTAGAGGGGTGGGTCTGGGTGGGATTCTCTGAGGGTAGGTGTGGACTTGTTGGGCCGAAGGGCCTGTTTCTACACTATAGGGATTCTATTCTATGATCTATGAATGATAAAGACACAGCAATAACTGTCCAAGCAGGACAATGTGCGACTTGGGAAGGGAGCTTGAATGTAATGGTATTTTCATCCATTGGCTGCCCTTGTCCTGGAGGAGATTATGCCCTGTGGTGATGCATGCTGCAGCCATGATGCACTAATGGTCAATGTTTAGAGTGGCAGCTTAGCTGTCAATGAAATGGAACAATTTGTCCAGATTATGTTAAGCTTTTTGAGGTTTTGGTGCAGCTGCATTCATCCAGGCAAGTGAAGAGAATTCCATCAAGCTCCTGCCTTGTGCCTTGTAAGTGGTGGAATAGCTGTGAGTGGGAAGTGAGCCACTTGCCAAAATATCTAACTTCTGAGTTGTTGTGGCATTTAGGTAGTTGATCCATTTGAGTTTTGATAATCACATTCTCAGGATGTTGATATAAAAACAGAAAAGTTGGAACTATTTAGCAGGTCTGGTTGCATGTGTGGAGTGAGAAATGGAGTTAACATGTCAGACCTGTATTTTTCGTCGGAAATTTGATATTATTGTTTGATAATACTGTTGCTGACTATTTTCATCATTTTGATGATAGAAGATAGGCTACTGCAGTAGCCTATGATAATTCACTAGAATGAGTTTGTCTTGCCTTTTTGGACCATTTTCTATATTGTTAGCTATATATCAGTTTTGTATTTGTGCTGGAACAGCATGGTGAAGGACGCAACTAGTTCTGAACACGATTGCTGGGCTGTTGTTGGTACCTGTTATCATTGCTGTATTCATTGCATATTGTAAGTGAAATTCTGGAGACTATTAGTGTTAAATCTGCCGATCAACTGCACACATGAAGTGGAAGGATATAATTTCTAAATTTTCAAGTTATTCCTGATCACAATGTAAGTTTGTACATTAATACCCAGTGGATAACCATGATGCTTTTATTATGTAACAGTCCACAATGCCCGTACTGTTTGAAGATCAGAAGACAATGAACAGATGACTTTTGGGAGATAAGTTATGATCCTAATTAGAAACTCCCAAGCTGTCTGAGAACAACTATAAGAGACTCATTTTCTGAAGAAGTGTCCAGACCCGAAACGTCAGCTTTCCTGCTCTTCTGATGCTGCTTGGCCTGCTGTGTTCATCCAGCTCTACACCTTGTTATCTATAATGAGACCCAAGTTTCTGTCAGACATATAGTGGACTTTCTAAAGGAAGGACCTATTGTTTGAGAAATAATGGGAGTTTACTTTATAGTCCAAACAAATCTCAAAAACCAGCATTGTCTGCTCTAGCCTCTTCAGTTTTTCCATGCAACAAGTATTGAGCCTACTAAGAAACATGAAAGAGGATTAGAAAGAGAAGAAAGAAAGACATTGCAACACAATGGGGAAAGAAAAGGAGAATAGAATTAGTCAGTTAGTTCATTCAAAGACTTAATTAGCATTATTCAATCCCATGTGACTATGATAAATGGGGTGATGGATGGAGATACACAAGAAAGGAGGATCCTCTCAGATCCATTCTAGTAATGGACATAACCTAAACTGAATGAATTTAGTTTTGCAAAACTTTTACTAAATCTTTAATCTTTCTCTGTATCTCTCTCTATATTCATCTAAGTGAATCTATTCCCTTTCTTCCTTCAGGACTTGTAGAGAGTAATTTACTCTCTTTCACTTCTTCATCTATTTGGGGTTGTGTTTATCAGTTCTGTTTCTTATTCATTTATCCTGCACACTTAATATTATTCCTTCAAACATGTTCCAATTTTTCTCTTATTTTAATTCTGTTTATTTTGTTGAAATCTGAAGATAGATCATCCATAAGATAGAATGGGAAAGAAACAAACTGTGGAGCCCCACTTTGTATCCTGTCATCCCGTGGCATGATATTTGAACTTGATGCCTGGGCACCACGCCACTTACATAGGGGAAAGAAAACAGTATGAATTAGCTGCTCAAATCCACATGTGACAAAATATTGAGGTTGTATAACATGTTTTGAAAGTCATATTGATCCTTGTCTTAGTCATTTTATCAATTAGACCTAATATTTGTGGATACTTTTTAGCTTCTTTACACAGAGAAGAACTTTGTGATTTGTTCCCCAACTGGCTCTGGAAAGACTGTACTCTTTGAACTGGCCATTGTTGGATTACTGATGCAAGTTCCAAAGCCATGGTCTAATATAAAAATTGTATACAGTAAGTTTAATGTAAAAAGCTATGGATTTTTTTCATCTAAAACAGAATGTTTTGTTTCTCATTACAACTTTAAAAATCAAGACAAAAAATAAAGTAGAATGGTGTATTTTCAATTGATAATCTTAAGTCCAACTAGCTATTTATTATTGAAATTACTACTAAAATGGTTTCTGTCACAACAGTCATTTGTACATAGAAGGATTTGCAAACAAGACTCACTCAACAGCCAAATCAGCATTTTAACTACCCCAAGAGGGACGAGTGATTTACATTGATGAAGCACATTACTTAGTGACTCAAATAATTCTCATTGCATTTCACACAGATTATTCTGAAGTGGAGGGACTGTTTTGTAGATTAATGCAGTACCCATTTTCTGCACTGGAAGTTGCCACTACTCACATTATATAGAAACGTAAAAATAGGAGCAGGAGTAAGCTGTTCACCCTTCAAGTTTGCTCTGCCATTCAATATGATCATGATAGCATCATCTTCCTGCTTTCTTCCCATATCCTCTGATCCCTTATGCCTAAGAACTATATCTAACTTCTTGAAAACATTCAGTGTTTTGGCCTCAACTGCTTTCTGTGGCAGAGAATTCCACAGGCTCACCTCTCTCGGGGTGAAGACATTTTTCTCATCTCATTCCTAAATCCTTAGACAAGAACCCCTGGTTCTGGACTCCACAGTTTTCAGAAACATCCTTCCTGTCTAATCGTGTTAGAAATGTAGGTTTCCATGAGATTCCCCTCATTCTTCTAAACTCCAGTGAATATATTGATTGATTTATTGTTGTCGCATGTACTGAGATATAGTGAAAAGTGTTGTTCATGCTATACAGGCAGATTGTATCATACAAAGTGGGAGATTGTATCATACATCAAGGTAGCAGAACCGCGTGCAGAATGCAATGTTACAACTGCAGATAAGATGCAGAGAGATCAGAATTAACATTTGAGAGGCCCGTTCAAAAGTCTGATAACAGCAAGGAAGAAGTTGTTCTTGAATCTGCTCATATATATATTCAAATTTTTACATTTTCTGCCCAATGGAAGAGGGCGGAAGAGAGTATAACCAAGGTGGGAGGGGGCTTTGATTATGTTGGTTGCTTTCCCGAGACAACGGGAAGTATAGATGGAAGGCTGGTTAGCGAGATGGACTGGGTTGTGTTCACAACTTTCTGTAGTTTCTTGTGGTCTTGGGAAGAGCAATTGCCATACCATGCTGTCTCCAGATAGGATGCTTTCTATGGTGCAGCTATAAAAGTTGATAAGCAACTTGTGGACATGCCAAATTTCTTTGACCTCCTGAGGAAATAGAGACATTGTTGTGCTTTCTTGACCATCTGTTGATGCTGGTGATCATCATTCCAGGAACTAGATGCTCTTGACCATCTCTACCTCAACAACATTGATGCAGACAGGGGCATAGCATACACTCTGCTTCCTGAAATCAATGACCAACACCTTCATTTTGACATTGATGGAGAGATTGTTGTCTTTTCCCATGCCACTCAGGTCTCAATCTCTTTCCTGTATTCTGACTAGTTGTTTAAGACGTGATCTACAACAGTGGTGTTGTTGCAGACTTGTAAATGGACTGGGACAGATTTTGGCCACAGAGTTTTGAGTGTATAGGGAGTGTAATAGGGAGCTGAGTATGTAACCTTGAGGTGCACTAGTGTTGAGGATTGTGGTGGAGGAGGTGTTGTCACCTATTCTTACTGATTGTGGTCTATAGGTTCGGAAGTCAAGGATCCAGTTATAGAGGAGGAAGCCAACACCTAGGTCTTGGAGTTGTGAGGTGAGTTTGTTGGAAATATGGTATTGAATGCAGAACTGCAGATCCTTGTTATCCAGATGTTCCAGAGATGAGTGTAGGGCCAGGAACATGGTGTCTGTCACAGACCTGTTGCTCTAGTAGGCATATTGCAAAGGATCAAGGCGGTTTGGTAGGCCAAAGTTGATATGAGATATGACTAACCTCTTGAAGTACTTCATAATTATGGAGTTTAGAGCCACCAGGCGACAGTCATTAAGGCATGATGCATGATTTTTCTTTGGCACTAGGATAATCGCGATCTTCTTGAAGCAGGTGAGGACTTCAGATCATAGTAAGGAGAGGTTAAAGATGTTTGCAAATACTCCCACCAACTGGTCCACACAGGATCTGAGTGCACAGTCAGGGACTGCATTCAGGTCAGTCACTTTCCATGGGTTAGTCTCCAGAAGGCAGATCTAACATCTGCAGTGGTGATCGTGAGTACAGATGCATCTGAGGCTGTTGGAATAGGTGACATCATTTCACTGACCTTCTGTTCAAAGCGAGTGTAGAATGCATTGAGCTTGTCAGGTAGGGATGTACTGTTGCCCACGATTCTGTTCAACTTTGCTTTGTAGCCCGTTATGTCGTGTAAGCCTTGGCACAAACAATGGGTGGCAGTGGGGTTGATCTGGGCCTGAAGCTTGATATTGCCTCTTGGCATCTCTTAATGGCCTTGTGAAGGTTGTACCTATACTTCCTGTAAAGGTCAGGATTGCCTGACTTGCATGCCTCAGACCTGGACTTCAGTAGGGAATGGACCTCCAGCGCATCCATGGTTTCCGGTTGGAGAACATTCGGATTAACTTCTTTCGCACAGTCTTCTGCACATTTACTAATGAAGTCTGTAATGGTAGTGGCATACTCTGTTAGGTTGGCCATTGAGTTCTTGAATATAGACTCTAAGCAGTCCCATAGAAGCCCTTCCATTGCCTCAGATCAGCACTGCACTACTTTCTTTACTGGGTCCTCATGCTTCAATTTCTGCTTGTAAGATGGGAGGAGGAGCACAGCGTTTTGATTTGATTTTCCAAAATGCAGATGGGGAATGGAATGATAGACATCTTTGATGGTTGTATAGCAATGATCAAGGATGTTCAGACCTCTGCTGAGACAGGAGACTTGTTGATGGTATTTTGTTAACATGTCCGTGAGGTTGGCCTGGTTGAAGTCACCGGCTACAATGAACAAAGGCTTAGGGAATTCTGTCTCAAGACTGTTTATAGCGTTGTATAGTTCATCAAGTGCAGTGTTCACTTCCGATTTGAGCAGAATGTACACTGCTGTCAGGATAGTGGAGGTGAACTCACACGGCAGAGAGTAGGGACGGTGCTTTAAGGTATTGTAAGTCTGGGGAGCAGTAACTCATCAGGGTCGCCACGTCTGAGCAACAGGGAGTGTTGATTAGGAGGCAGACTCCACAGTCCCTTCCCTTGGTCAAGGATGCCAAGCAGTCCATTCAGTGAACTGAGAAACCCTCAAGTTGTTAGGCATAATCAGGTGTAGCAAGATTGAGCCATGTCTCTGTAAAACTGAGCACCCAACAGTCTGTCAATTCTCTTTGGAATATAGTCCTAACTAAACCAATCTCTCTTCGTACATCAGTCCTGCCATCCCACAAATCGGTTTAGTAAACCTTTGTTGCACTCCCTCCATAGCCAGAACATCCTTCCTCAGATAAGGAAACCAAACCTACACACAAAACACCGAATGTGGTCTCACAAGGCTCTGTACAATTGCAGGAAGATATCCCTGCACTTGAATCCTCTACAAAGGCCTACGTACCATTCGCCTTCTTTAGCAGCTGCTGCACCTGGATGCTTAGTCCCAGCAATTGGTGGACAAGGCCACCCCGGTCACTTTTACACCTCTTCCTTTCTCAGTCAATTGCCATTCAGATCTTCCTTGCTGCTTTTGTTACCAACATGGATAATCTCAAACAAAAACAGAAATTCCTGGAAAAACTCAGCAGATTTGGCAGCGTCTGTGGAAAGAAATCAGAGTTAACGTTTTGTGTTGAGTAACCCTGCTGTGGGCAGCACGGTGGCTCAGTGGTTAGCTCTACTGTCTCACAGCACCACGGACCTGGGTTCAGTTCCACCATTGGTGACTGTGTGGAATTTTCACATTCTCACTGGGTCTGCGCAGGTTTCTGCTAGGTGCTCCCGCAGTCCAAAAGATGTGCAAGCTAGGTGAATTGGCCATGCTAAATTGCCCATAGTGTCCAGGGATGTGCTGGCTATGTGGATTAGCCAGAGGAAATGCAGGGATAGAGAAGGAGAAGGATCTGGAAAGGATGCTGTTTGGAAGGTTGGTGTGGACTCAATGGACTGAATGGTCTGCTTCTGCACTGTAGGGATTCTGCAATTCCTCAGAACTTGGAGGAAGGGTCATTCAACCTGAAACGTTGACTCTGATTTCTCTGCACGGGTGCTGCCAGACCTGCTGAGCTTTTCCAGCAATTATTGTTTTTGTTTCTGATTTACTGCATGCGCAGTTCTTTCAGTTTTTATTTTGGATAATCTCAAATTTATCCATACTATACTTCATTGCCATGAATTTGCACACTCATTCAACTTATCAAGATCACAATGAAGCATGTCTGCACACTCCTCACAGCTCACCCTCCCACCCTGCTTTGTGTCATCTGAAAACCTGGAGCCATTGTATTTACATTGGGTTGGATTAATAGATAATTTTCTTTGAATAATTAGTTGATTGAGAAATGCTTGTGAAAGTAGAATAATTCCCTCTATAAACAGTCTTTGAGTCCACCTGAACTCTCGGCTGGGCCTCAGTTTAACATCTCCACTGAAGTGTGGCACTTGGAACAATGCAAAGGTCTTTTGGTACTGCACAGGTAAATCACTTGATTTGTAAGCTGAAACCATGAAATGTATTTGAGCCCTCTATAAGTGGGCATGGGTGCAACTAACTACCACAACTACTGTAACTATGAATGATTGTTTCTCGGGATTTATTTCCCAACAAGCAGAGCTCCTTGGTTACATTTATTCCATCACCTCAAATGGCAAAGTATTTCTAATTTTATTTATTTATTAACTAAACTTTCTCTAAGGATAGTGTATGTCTGGATACCGTGTGGTAACACAACCTTTTAAACATAATAGACGATTTTAAATCTTGCTGTGCAGTATTAGCATGCATTTTATTGCATTTTGCCCAGATCTTCAAAATGCTACTTCAGGTGGCATTGAACTATTTATTCTAAACTAGGAAAATTTTCAATTAAAATAAAATAGTTATTTAAACAACCACTTCTGTTCGTGCATTAATAAGAAATAGCACAGTTTCAAGCCCCAAGTGAAGAGTTATTGACCAACTTGAATGTTATCTATCATCAGTAGCTGTTATCAAAACATTAAAAACTCAATCAAGCTTGTTGAGAAACACAGTCTGGTGACATCAATTGGTTAAACAGCTCTTAAGTTGCAAAATCGACTTGACCATACTGAAATCGGTGTCAATTTCAGGTTAAGTTTTGTTTGTATGTGTCACCATTTCCATTTTAAGGACATACTTTCCCCTTCTGTTAGGAACTGTTACATGACTCAGAAGGTGAGTTGGATGACTTGTTCTATGAATTTGACTAATATGAGCTCTACAACCAGCGGGCAAAGGAAAACTGTGTTGAATCCCCTGCCATTGTTATTAAATTTCCTTCCATCCTGTGAAAAACCTATGTAGTTTCTACTAAATATTGCTGTTAATTTCTTAACTGCAATCAAGAATTTGACCTTTTGATCTGAGCCTATTGTTTTTACCAGTCTAAGATAACATGTTACTTTTAACAAACATTGAAATAATTTTCTCTACTTTTCTTGTAATTAATAGATTGCTCTGAGAACTGATGACAATTTTTACAAACCTATAAATAATTAGCTTGCCTCCTTTGACACTTGTTAGAGGTAGAGTAAAATATGTCTTATGGAGCATAATACTGAGTTACAAGGTTCCATGACTCTAAGGTATATGATGAAACCTTTTGTTTTCTTAGTGGCTCCAATCAAAACTTTATGTAATCAGCGAAATGAAGATTGGAAAGAAAAGTTTGGGCCTATTGGACTGAACTGTAAAGAGCTAACTGGAGATACAGAAATGGATGACTATTTTGAAATTCAAGACGCCCATATTATCATAACTACTCCCGTAGGTATCTGTCCTGAACAACTCAGTAAACAGTATGAAATTTTATAAAATATGAAATGTGATGTATACTGCAGTCTAACTAAGAAAGAGGCAAGACAAGACCAGGTATTGGGGAATGAGTCTGGCCAGGTGATAGAAGTTTCAGGGGAGAGTATTTTAGGAACATTATTTTGTAAGTTTTAAGTTACTCTCTATAAGAGTAAGGGTAGTCTATATAAGGATAACTACATATTATAGTTCTCTATAACGATAAGAGTAGTCCTTGGGTGAAAATACTAAATTGGGGGAAGGCTAACTACCACAATATTAGGCAGGAACTGGGGAATGGAGACTGGGCGTGACTGTTTGAGGGTAAATCCATAACTGGTATGTGGGAATTTTTTAAAGACCAGCCAACTCAAGTTCAGGACAAGCATGTCCCTATGAAAATGAAGAACAATTATGGCAAGATTCAGGAACCTTGGATGACCAGAGAAATTGAGAGCTTAGTCAAAAAGAAAAAGGAGGCATAAAAAAGATTTAGAAAATTAAAGACAGACAGAGACCTCGAAGAGTATGAAGATAGCAGGTAAGAACTCAAACAAGAAATTAGGAGAGCTAAAAGGGGCCATGAAAAGTCTTAGACAGGATTGAGGAAAATCCCAAGACGTCTTATACATTTGTCAGGAGTAAGAGTGTAGTTAGGAAAATGTAAGACAACTCAAGGACGAAGGAGGGAATTTATGTGTGGACAAAGGAAGTGGCTGAGGTCCTTAACAAATTCTTTGCATCAGTATTCACAAAGGAGAAGGACGTGGTGGATGGTGAATCTCGAGAGGGGTGTATTGATATTCTAGGGCATGTCAATATTCTAGGACTTGTCAACATAAAAACAGGAAGAGGTACTGAGTGTTTTAAAAAACATTAAGGTAAACAAGTCCTCAGGGTTGATGAGATCTATCCCAGAATGCTAAGGGAGGCAGGTGAGGAATTTGCTGTGGCCTTGTGTGAACTTTTTGTATCCTCTTTAGTCACAGGAGAGGTCCCAGAGGACTGGAGAAAAGCTGGCATTTTTCCTTTGTGTAAGAAGGGCAACAGGGATAATACAGGAAATTACAGGCTGGTGATCTTTACATTGGAGGTAGGGAAATCATTGGAGAAGATTTTTAGGGATGGGATTCATTCACATTTGGAAAAATATGAACTTATTAATGATAGGCAGCATGGCTTTGTGCGAGGAAGGTCGTATCTCGCAAACTTGATTGAGATTTTTGAGGAAGTAACAAAGGTGATTGATGAGCATAGGGTGGTAGATGTTATCTTTATGAACTTTAGCAAGGCCTTTGACAAGATCTGTCATGGCAGGCTGATACAAAAAATGAAGTCACATGGGATCTGCAGTGAGCTGATAAGGTGGATACAGAATGGGGCTTAGTCATAGAAGACAGAGAATAGTGGTGGTAGGTTGTTTTTCTGACTGGAGATCTGTGACTAGTGGTGTTCCACAGGGACCTCTGTTGTTTGTAATAAATAAAAATATTTGGAGGAGAATGTAACTAGCCTGATTAATGAGTTTGTGGATGACACAAAGATGGGGGGAGCTCTGGTTAGGATGAATATTGCCAGAGGATACAGCAGGATGTAGATAGCCTACAGAGTTGGGCAGACAAATGGCATATGGAATTTAACCAGACAAATGCAAGGTGATGCATTTCGGGAGGTCTAATGTAGGAGTGGAGTATAAAGTAAATGGCAGAACCCTTAATAGCATACAGAGGGATCTAGGCTTGCAGGTCTAGAGTTCCCTGAAAGTAGCTACACATGTGGATAAGGTGTTCAAGAAAGCATATGGCATGCTTGCCTTCATCATATGGGGCATAGAGTACAAAAATTGGCAAGTCATGTTGCAGCAGTTAGGCCATATTTGGAATATTGTATACAGTTCTGGTCGTCACACTACCAGAAGGTTGTGGAGGCTTTGGAGAGGCTACAGAGACCTGGTTTGGAGGGTGTTAGCTATGCGGAGAGATTGGAAAAACTTAGTTTTCTCTTTCAAAATAAAAACCACAAGAATTGCAAATGCTGTAAATCAGAAACAAAAACAGAAATTGCTGGAAAAGCTCAACAGGTCTGACAGCATTTGTGAAGAGAAATCAGAGTTAACGTTTCATGTCCAGTGACACTTCCTCAGAACTGATGGTAACTAGGAAAATGTCAATTTATATGCAGAAGATACAGTGGAGGGAAGGAGTTAAGGAGTAAACGATAGGTAGAGATAGAGCCCAAAGAGAAAAACAGTTGGACAGTCAAAGGAGTGAATAACTATCTGGCTAGGAGGGTGAATAGCTGTTAATGAAGACTGTTAGTGGCTAGCAATGGGTTGTGTGTAATAGCAGACTATGTGATAACAAGGGCTGGTGTGTGGGGTTGGGGGCAAGGACATGACAGAGTTCAAACCCTAAAGTTATGGAACTCGATATTAAGTCCAGAAGGCTGCAGGGCCTCTAAGCAGAAAATGAGGTGTTGTTCTTCCAGCTTTTGCTAAGCTTCGCTGGAGTTTCACTGGAGCACTGCAGCAAGCCTGAGACAGATATATTGGCCAGGGAACAGGGTGTTGTGTTGAAGTGGCAGGCAACTGGAAGCTCAGGGTAATTTTTGCAGGCAGAATTTAGGTGTTCTCCGAAGCGGTTACTCAGACTATGCTTTGTTTTCCCAATGTAGAGGAAACCACATTTTTTTTCTTTATTCATTCATGGGATGAGGGCGTCACTGACCAGGCAGCATTTATTGCCCATCCCTAAATGCCCAGAGGGCAGTTAAGAGTCAGCCGCATTGCTGTGGGCCTGGGGTATCACGTAGGCCAGACCAGGTAAGGATGGCAGTTTCCTTCCCCAAAGGACATTAGTGAACCAGATGGGTTTTTCTGACAATCAACAATGGATTCATGGTCATTATTAGATTCTTAATTCCAGATATTTTATTGAATTCAAATTCCACCGCCATCTGCCATGGCAGGATTCGAACCAGTGTCCCCAGAATGCCATCTGGGTCTCTGGACTAACAGTCCAGTGATAATACCACTAGGCCACTGCCTCCCCCACACATAGTGAACAGCGAATGCAGTAGACTAGATTGTGTGAAGTGCAGGTAAGGTGCTGCTTCACCTGGAAGGTATGTTTGGGCCCTTGGATACCAATGAGGGAGGAGGTAAATGGGTAAGTTTACACCTTCAGCGATTGCAGAAAAAGGTGCCATGAGGTGTGGGGAGGTGTTGGGAGTGAAGGAGAGTAGACCAGGGTGTCCCGGAGGGAACAGTCCTTGCAGAAGTCTGACAAGAGAGGGGAGGCGAATATGTATCTGTTGGTGGCATCTCGCTGGAGGTGGTGGAAATGCTGGTTAATGATTTTCTGGATGTAGATGCTGGTGGGATGGTAGCTAAAGACAAGGGGAACCCTATCGCTGTTGCGGAAGGGAAGCGAAGAGGTCAGGGCTGAAGTGCGAGAGATGGGTCAGACCCAGTTGAGGGCCCTGTCAACAATGGTGCTGGGGAATTCTTGGCTGAGGAAAAAGATGATAGTTTGGGGGTTCCCTTTTCAAAGTTGGCATCATCAGAACATATGTGTTGGAGATGGAGGAACTGGGAGAATGGGATAGAGTTTTTACAGGAAGCAGGGTGCGAGGATGTTTGTCCAGGTAACTGTGGGAGTTGGTGGGTTTATAATGGATATTAATGGCCAGTCTATCCCCAAACATAGAAACAGAGATGTCGAGGAAGGGAAGGGAGGAGTCAGAGATGGACCAGGTGAAGGTGAGGGCAGGGTGGAAATCGGAAGTGAAATCGATAAACCTTTCCAATTTCGGACGAGAGAGGAGCAGTACCGATGATATCGCTATATCAGAGAAAGAGATGTGGATGGGAACCAGATCAAGGAATGTTCCACGTACCCCACAAAGAGACAGGCATAACTGGGGTCCATTTGCGTACACCCATCTGACCTGAAGAAAATGAGAGAAGTTAAAAAAGAAGTTGTTGAGCGTGAGGATGAGCTTGGCCAGACAAAAGGGTGGTGGTAGATGGGGATGGTTCAGTCCTTTGTTCCAGGAAGAAGTGGAGAGCCCTGAGACCATTCTGGTGGGGGATAGATGTGTAGAGGGCTTGCATGACCATGGTGAAGTGGAGGTGGCGGAAGACTGCAAACTGGAAATTTTGAAAGTGGTGTAAAGTGTCAGAGGGATTGTGATTTTTTTTTTGTTTTTGTTTTCACTTGAATGTCAAAGGATGAAGGACAATCTGATAGATGTTTACAAGATTATGAGAGGTATGGATAGAATGCACTGCCAGAGGAGGTGGTGGAGGCATCTTGACAGATAAATGAATAGGGTGGGAATAGAGCAATATGGACCATGTGGAGGCAAAAGGTTTTTAGTTTAGAGGGAGGGTCATTGATGAAGCAGCTGAGGATGTCTGGGTTTTGGAAACTGTGTTGAGGAACTCCGGCAGTGAAGTTCTGTGTCTGAGATGATTGGTCTCCACAACCATCTTCTTTTGTACGAGGTATGACTTCAACGAGGGAGAATTTTCTCCCTGACATTTGGTGTCTGGAATAGAGACGACTGACTTCCAGCAACCACAACCATCTTCCTTTGTGCTAAGTGTGACTCCAATCACTGGAAAATTTTCCCTCAATTCCAACTGACTCCAGTTTAGCTAGAGCTCCTTGATGCTGCACTCTATCAAATGCGTCTTGCTGTCAAGAACAGTCAGTCTCACTTTCCTCTTGAAGTTACCTTTTCGATTTTGTTTCACTAAACTTGCAGTGAACTCAGGAACCTAAGTGTCAATACGCAGGTTGTTATTGAGTAGATGCTACTTGATAGCATTGCTGATGAAATATTCAATCATTTTGCTGATAGCTTTATAGGTTGAAAGATTCATACAGCACAAAGGCCCTTTGCCCATCAAGTCTGCACCAACATAACTATCACTAGAAGTGCGCTAATCCCAATTTCCTGCACTTGTCCCATATTCTTGAATGTTATGATAATCGAAGTACTCGCCCAAATATTTTTTAAAAGACGTAAGGTTTCCAGCCTCCACTACCTTCCCAGGCAGTGCATTTCTGATTCCCGCCATCTGCTGAGTGAAAAGGCTTTTTCCCAATTCACCTCTGAATCTCCTGTCCCTTACCCTCTCGTGATTGACCCCTCAACCAAAGGGAACAACTGCTCTCCATTTACCCTGTTCATAACCCTCATAATCTTACACACCTTAAACATGTGATGATCAAGAATAAACTGATGGGGATTGGTCAGTTTGGAGGTAGCCTGCTTTTGGTGGAAAGGACATATATGGGTAATTTTCCACATTGCCTCAAAGATGTCACCATTGTACCTGGACTGGTACAACCTTGCTGGGTTACAATTGCCACAATATTGTCAGGGCCCATAGACTTTTTAATATACAGTGCCTTCAGCCAATTCACTCCAAATGATATCAAGAATTGAATTGGTGGAAAACTAGCATCTGTAATGCTGGGGACTTTGTGAGGAAGCTGAGATGGAGCATTCAATTGTTTGCACCCATTTGACAAAATTAAAGTTACTCCAAGAAGTTTATATTTTCCTGTCAAAAGTTATAAAAAATGCATTTTGTCTAGTCGTGTATTTGGCCTTTTGTATTCAGATTCTAAATTTTTTTTTAAGGAAAAATGGGACACCATGACCAGAAAATGGAGAGATAATTCATTAGTACAATTTGTGAGGCTTTTCCTCATTGATGAGGTAAGGGTTAAATTATTCACATATTGTGAAATTATAGTTCACTGTCTTTTGATTTGATTAGCAATGTTTTTAACTTCTAAGGAATTGTGCACATTTAGTATGCAAAAGTTTTAAAGAAAATGCATGCAATTTATTTCCATTGAATTTTTAGGGCTACTTTTCCATTTTGAAATAACAAATATTTATTATTCTAGGTACATGTTGTGAAAGATGAATGTCGTGGTGCAACTCTTGAAGTTGTAGTCAGCAGAATGAAAACAGTTCAGTTAGCTGTCTCACGTATGTCTAATCAACTCGATGATAAAACATTGAGATTTGTAGCAGTTTCTGCAACAATTCCTAATGTTGAGGATGTAAGTCTATCCACATCATATTATATAAAATTAATGTGCTGAAATTTTGCTTGATGCCCATGAACATTTCCTGTATTTGTGCATCTTTTGTTCTACTTCCTAAGATTGCAGAATGGTTATCAGATGGAAAAGGACCAGGAATTGCCATGAAGATAGATGAAAGCTATCGACCAGTAAAGCTCCGCAAAATTGTTCTTGGATTTCCTTGCTCCAGCACTCAAACTGAATTCAAGTTTGACTTATCGCTTAATTACAAAATGGCTAGCGTTATCCAGACATATTCTGAGCAGAAACCTGCTCTGGTGGTACTTATTATGTTAATTCTGATTCACTTCTTACATCTTCAATGTACAGTTTTTTTTAATGTGTTTTTGAAAATGTGATTTTTTTTTCAAACTTTCAGTTTTGTGCTACAAGGAAAGGTGTGCAACAGGCTGCATCCATACTTGCAAAGGATGCCAAATTTATCATGACCACGGACCACAAGCAAAGGTAGCAATTTTCTCCTGAATCGTGTTGAAGTAAAGACTTGAAGTTTAGTATAGTGAACTTGCAAATTCTTGAACTTGGAAAGAATCTTGAACGACAGTACAACACTGAAATATTTTTATGTACTACGATCTTAAATAAATACAAATATATGAAACTCACCTTCTAATAATTCTGTGTAATAATTTGGGATTACTTGTACATAATATCAAAATAGTATGTTAAGTATTAGAAAGAAACTGGCATAATCAGAATTTAAGGCAAATATTTACATATTATCAGATTAACCTCTATTCCTACATCTAGTATTTTGAGCGTAGGTAAGCTATTTTATACTGAGTGATTTGTTTCAGCAACTTTTTGTGGAAACAGCTGTGTTTTTAAGTTTTATTTTTGCTTGTAAGGATACATTTTCCATAGAAATAAGTTTTTAAAAAATGTAATGGGATGAAGAAGGTCATGCAGAAATTTTAAATGAAAAAACAACTATTGGTCAGGTTGATTATTTCTTTAACTCCTGTCAAAGATAATGCACTGTATGTTGTAAAATGTGTGATTTATGTACATATACTAATATGATTTATTTGAGTTTGGATTTTGAACTGGTGGGTTTTGTCTATGTGTGTTGTGACAATATTTTGACTTTAAGAGTTGTATTTTGTCCTTTTTCTGAAGAGAGGTTTTGAGCCATAGATGCTGAACTGTCTATTACAAAGCAATAAAGTACACAGCTTTTGAGGCCTTGGGTTTTTTTAAGTTGGAACAATAGAAGAAGCATGAATGGGTGAAATCAGGCTTCCACACAACCAGGGATTTAGTTTAGCTTTCAGTAGTTGTGGGGGTTTTGAAGTTGGCTGCGGAGGCTGTTGCATCTCTCTTGGCCACAGCAAAAATCTGGAGTTCTGTCTCTACCAGAATTTTCTTTTGGTGTTCCTTCTTCCTGGACTGGAGAAACACCATATGTGAGACAATCTATTTTACTGAATTTGTCTTTGCCAAGTGAATGTTTATGGGATGTTACTATATTGGAACAGTTGCTGTTTAGTAGTTAAATAATCTATTATTCTGTCATGTTTTCCAATAGAGTTAAAACTACACTAATTTTTTGCTCTTTTATTTGTGTTTTAACTATAGGGTAAGAATAAAATGTGTTTTGCATAAAGCTGAGTGGTTTAACCAATCAAATTATACTTGACCATAGCACCTTACACTTGCCTTTAAATAAGATAAAAGTTAGGGTCTAGGCTATCTCCTCAATACTTTTGAAGGGGGTTTGGTCTGGTCCATAACAGTATGAAGGGAGTTAATGATTTTTTAAAATTTTTAAACCAGTGTGTGAGAAAGAGACAGAGAGAATTACTAGAATGCTCATGAAAATTTGTTTTATTTAGAAGTTTTACAAGGAGACAGAATTAACATTGAAGAGCATTAGTTCAGTTAGGAGGATCAGGAGTTGATTTTTTGCTTGGGGAAGCATCTATAGCTTGTACTGCCTTTTTGTTTCTGACCACAGAATTCCTAATTGAAGTTGGATACAAGAACAGTTCTCTGGAGCAAGGAGTTAGTTCAGAAAAAAAGTGGAAATAGATTACCTCAGTATAGGGCTTTTCAGATCAGTTAGGAGTTATTTGAAGCTGTTAAAGCCTAAACTCAATTGTGTGAATATTCAAGAAAGAGGCAGTCAGACTCTCAAGCTCATGAATTGAAATCAACAATTAAATAAAACCTATAGATTTGACAGAGAAGGGATTTCTACTTGGTGTTTGTGTAGAATGATTGCATTGGAATAGATGGGATAGTATTTTTACTGTATGTTTCAAAATCTTTCAGGTTGTGTTGTATGTAAATAGCTTAGTTTATTCTATTTTATGATCTTTTAATTTATGTAATAGACCTCTTTTGTTGTTAAAACAAGATCTCCAGCATTGTGTGCTTCTCTTTCAGTGTTTCACATTGTTAAATTAAAACAAAACAAAATATTATTTATCAAGCCAGATTTCAGTCTGGGAATCTGACTAGTCCAGTAATAACATCAGCTGGGATCATAATAGATTCTACATTTTGTATCTTGCATACTGTAGACTTATATGACAAATGTGTCTTTTTCTGCATCATAACTTATACAGTTGAAGATGTAGTAGTCCTGAATTTGAAAAACAAGATTTTTCTTTTGTTTAAATAATTTTCTGAATTTATTCATGCATCCAATGCTTTTAATTTCAATAGATTGCAAAAATATACAAACTCAATAAAGGATTCAAAGCTTAGAGGTAAGATGTTTATATTTTGAATTGTTGAGTCAAAGAAATTGTATATATATGTATTTATATATATATATAAAATTAATAATTTCATGTGCAATTTTGCACGAATTTTAATAGATCTGTTAGTATACGGAGTTGGTTATCATCACGCTGGTATGGATGTATCCGATAGGAAAGCGATTGAAGCTGCTTTCACTGCAGGAGATGTACCAGTACTTTGTAAGTTTTATTTCTGTCATCTTTCATGTTGTTTTCTTTGCTCAACTAGTTTTAACTGATTTTCATATTTTATGGGTTTTACATTAGACAGTTCCTCAGTTTCGGACCAAAGATTAACAAGTGACAAAAGAAAATAACCTTCATGTTCACTATGATCTGGACATTTTCTTGCCCAGTATCTTGGCGAGTGATAGCAAAACCCAAAGATTACAAAAGAGATTCTTACTTTGAGCACCACCTGCCAAAATATATCATCTGCTCCCACGTGACTTTCTATTGTTCAAAAGCTAGATTGAATACACACTATCAGACAAATATTTAGGCTTCAGAAATATTTTACATAAATAGATCAGTTAAATGAGTGCTATATAGTAACGCCCGATGTCCTGAAATTCAAGAATTGTCTAAAAATGTCCAACTTTAAATTATGCTGGACTGTTTCTAAGGTGTTTGGGTAGCTGCCTAAAATAGGCATTAGGACCATACACATGCTCATGAAGAGTTCAACAAATTTTGTTTAGTCTTTCAGGGTAATTGGATTTTGTTCAATAGAGCAGGGGTTTGGCCTATTCCACACTGGTTTCCCAGATGTGTTGTGGTCTAGCTACCAGTAGCCATCGATCATCAAGTTAATTTTATTTTAAATTCATAGAACAATTGACAATTGTGGATAGTACCCTTCCCTGTTTTTTCTCCCACCTGGGATCTTGGGGCAAACTGCCAATGATTCAGGAAGTCTAAAATCTGCAGTTGAGCAAGCTGCCTGTGGAACCTATACAGGTGCACCAGGGCCATGAATAGAAATCATGCACCCCAGTACTGCTTCTGGACTGGACCCCAGGTTCAATCCCAATTACAGTGGCCCCAGCTCCAACCTGAGCACAGCAGGCCCTGATTTAGGTGACAGCTAAGGTATAATTGCCTTTTAATTTTGATGGTTTGTTTGAATATTGAACACGGCAGTTGCTGCCTTCTTTTTGTACCCCTGTTTTCCAGTATGAGCCCCTGTCACACTGATGGTTTGTTCTGTGAATGCTCTTATTGGTCCAGGACATCACAGTTAGCTGCAGATGCACCGATCCAGCTCTGAGACATGAGTGTTAGGTAAACCAGAACTGCCATCTCCCCCAGACTAGTTTCAACTAGTTTTGAGGCACTGACTGACTCTTTTTTCAATAATATTTTGTTACAGTTACTACTAGCACTTTAGCTATGGGAGTAAACTTGCCAGCCCACTTAGTGGTAATTAAATCCACAGTGCATTACGCAGGAGGAATGTTTCAAGAATACAGTGAAACTGATATACTTCAAATGATGGGCCGAGCTGGTCGACCTCAGGTAGACTATAGAAAATGATAGAAGTGATGTAACGTGTGATTATCTGCTTCCTTGATCTGTGCTCGTGCATCAACATAGATATAAATCACCTGGTTGAAAGAGTAGGTAGCTTTTTTGTCCAAGTTTGCAGATAACAAATCTGCAATGAATGAATGGGAGGAAGAGGTTACAAAGTGATATATACAGACATCATTTTCAGTGTGGAAAAGTGTGTAGTTATCTAATTTGGACTTGGGAAGTGAAAAATGAAATGTGTATTCTTAATGGGAACAACTAAAGCTGTGGTGAAGCAAATGGATTTCTGATTGAAATAAATCAATCATTTACAGCTAATATACAAAATGCAATGAAAAAAGCTAATGTTAGCCTTTACCTCCAAGAGGTTAGAATTCAAATTTAAGGAATTACTTAAGACAGTATTGTTTTTAGAAGTAGTAGAGTCCAGATATACCAGAATATCACTGGAGGATAAAATGTTAAATTATGAGGACAGGTTATATGAACCTAGTTTAATATTCCCCTGAATTTAGAAGGTTGGCTTTAATTGAGGTTTTTACAATGATAAATGGTTTGAAGAGTGCAGAGTGAAGATACAATCCACTATATCCTATGATGGAGGGATACAAGCATAAGGGAGCATAATCTTAAAATTCAATGCTTGGCTAGATAGAAATAATATAAAAAGGGTAAATAGATAGTTAACAAGTCTACTTAAAATCTGAAACCCCCTATTCTAAAAGACTGAGGATACACGTAGTTGAAATTTTCATGCCTAAGAACCTAAGGCTATCTTGTTAACTATGGGTATCAAACCATATGGAGCAAACACAGGGAAAAGTGTTTGTGATACAGATCAGACAGTATTTTATGCAGAGGCTCCTCAATTTTTTTTCTGAAACCTCCTTTTGAGATATATGCCAATGTACCCTCTTTATTGCTCAAGATCTCATTACTGCTCAAATGCTTAAAAAAAAGCTGATCTAATAGAATGGGAAGCAAAACCATGTAGATTAAGAATTCTTCGGTTCTTGGATTCTTAGAATATTTTCAGCCCTTTTGCACCTCCTTCATAATCTTCCAATCTATTACCATACAAATAGATCACAACAGATATACTTCACACAGCACGTTCAGAGTATAATGTACATTATCGGATGCAATTTGTATGTGCTAATCCCACAAGAGTCTAATAGGGTCCTGGGATTTCAAAATTAGGAGATTTAAAAATTGTTGGCTGATTGAAGTGGAGTAGGAAACACAGACCTTCATTTTGACTGCTGCACTGTTGTGTTCCCATGGACCAGACTTAGGTTTATCTATTTTTAACAATCTGTTCAGACATGTTATTACACACCTCTGGAGCAGTGGGACTTGAGCCTAAGCTTTCTGGCTTGGAGGGAGGGACACAACCTCTGCACCACAAGTTCGAATCTTGCCATTTTAGTTCTATTTATTAGGTCATTCTGACTGAAATTACAAAATTGCTGTGTGGGAACTGTGGATGTGAAATCGCATCCTCCTGGGTGCCCCATTTATTTTTGTAACATATTAATGTACTGTGAAATTAAAATACTTAATTTCAAAATGACCATGTGATAGTCTACTCGTCTGATAATATCCTGCACCCACAGATTGTTCAGACACCGATCCCAGAAAATCTCAATATAACTACTCCCAGTTATGAGTGACATTGAAGTCATTATTGAGTATATTGGGGTATGAGCGTGGAAGTGGAAAGGACATGGACTGATAAAGACTGCCAGCCGTCTGGATTAAATGAGAGTCTTCCAGAACTGAAGGCGGATCTGCCTACCACTGCTCCAGCAGTCTTGACTTAAAGTACTTTTGACTGATGGCTCATGCCAGCTCATTTCTGGAGCCACATTTTACACATCTATTGATAGATTAAATCTAAAAACCACCATAGAGGCTAACAAATTGGTCCTGGTCTTCTGTAACTTCAAGACCTGCTCTTAGCTGATCTGCCAAAAGATAGTATTGATTTAATATCATAAAAACAATACTGTCATACTTGTGTTTTACACTGATAGCAATCCAGTCTGACTCAAGAGGATTTGGCACTGCCTTTTGTACGGCACTGTTAGCTTAGTGGGGAGTCAGAGCAGTTCAATTGCAGTTTTGCTTTTGAGGAATTAAATGTTATTCACCAGTTTATATTCAACTCTGCGTATGTTAAATTATATATTTGGTAATGATGACTCAAGTTAGCATGCTTTGAATTAATTTGATCCTCCTTGTATTGAAACATATTGATCCTTCTTAAGAATTCAAAGTATGTTTTTTATTTTATGTGGAAAGTTAATTCTTACATAAGAAATATTTGGGGAAGCAGTACTGAGGCACAAACAAAAATTTTGCAAAGCACTCATGTTGCCACTTTTAGTTGCAAAATGTTTAACAAGTTTACAAAATCTTCTGCTAAGTGTGGCAAAGTTTCAGAAACAACTATGGAAGATTCTTGAGTAGATTTGAAGCTCGGGTTGTGGATGCTGTGGTTGGTTCACACCCTGAGCTGGTTCGTTAGTTTGCAGACGTTTCATAACCCTGCAGGGTAACATCATCAATACAGCTCTGATGTAGCACTGTTGTGTTTTCCCATCTGGTATTTAAACTGTGGGTTCCATTGGAATTGGTTACCTCATTTTCGGTTTTTCCTCATGGTGGTGTATACATAGGGTCTAATTCGATGTGTTTATTGATGGCCTTCTTCTCACAAACGGAGTTGCGTCAAAACACTATTTAAACGAGTGACAACACACTGCAGCAATCCGGAACTACGCCAAAACGAAGAAGAATACCTCTACCAAGTATTTAAAGACAACGGATACCTGAACAGCTGGGTCCAACAAAGCCTATCACAAATCAAGAAGGCCATCAATAAATACGTAGAATTGGACCCTATATATACATCACTGTGAAGAAAAAACAAAAATAAGTTCCAACGGACCCTGGAGTTTAAATACCACGCAGGAAAACACAACAGCACTTCATCAGAGGCTGCATTGATGATGTTACCCAGCAGGGTAATGAAATGTCTGAGAACTAACGAACCAGCTCGTCGAGCAAACCGACCACAGCCAACTATGGAAGAGTTACAGTGCAAATATTTACTGAAATACTAGTATTCATGGAGAAGGTGACCCAAAATTTAAATACATGTAGTAAATTTTGTGAATCCGACAGAAGATTTTAAAATAATTTATGGATTCCAAACAGGGTTGTCCCAAGGTATTCATGTGGTCAAATACTACATCAGATATTTCATGATCAAGCTCACATAAACTAATCATCAAGTATACTTCCAAAAAAAAATGGGAACTCTTGGACTGGCTAGTGAGCTTTCCATGAAGACCTAATAACCCCAATCAAGAAAGCTGGGCTGATATCATGGTAGAGATAAGATATGGGTAGGACATACGTCCTACTGAGGTGAGATCAGAAAAATGTAAGCCTATATAGTCTGCAATATGTTTGTATGTATATGTATGAACATTCTAAATTCCTGAATATTTTTGTAATTTCTCTTAGTTTGACACAACAGCCGCGGTAGTTATCATGACAAGGACCCAAACAAAGGACAACTACACACAGATGTTAGATGGAGTACATACAATTGAGAGCAGGTATTCTAATACATAGGATGAATTTAAATCATTTATGCAGAAAGCATGCAGACATAGTTTAAGTATAGTGCTGCTATTGTTTGAACACACTTCCCTGTGGTTCACATGTACATATTTTAGGTGGATGGATGATTGCAGCATTCATCTGTTGATGTTATGTAGAGTTCAACATTTTTTGGGTTAACTTGGCAAGGAGCTTGAAGAAGTATATGAAGGCAAATAGGGAATGAAAAGCTGAAAAATTCTTCCATTGACTTGGATTCTACAAATGCTATTTTTTCAGACTGTCAGATGTAAATGCATTCTTAAAAAGATTTCGGTCGGTGGTAATTGCAATCATTGAGGTATTCATGCTTTGCTCTCAGCTCTACTGCATTATAACATAGCACTGCCAATAAACCTAGCAAGCCAACCATCGGAAACAACTAATAATCAGAATTAAGCACCCAAGCAAGCTAACTGAGTAACTAAATGGTATTCCATTTACAGAGTTGACAGGAAAAGATTCACTACATCAAAATAGATAAATAAAGAAGCCCAAATGAACTGATTGAATAGTAAGCATGGTGGCGGCCTAGGGTATCTCAATTGTGGCTCCTAATTCTTGCATAAAAAGATGGTCTTGTGGTTAACTCTATTCTTGAAATAAACAGCCTTGTATAGAGTCTGTAATTTTTTTACTGAAGTCACAAAGATTATGTTCAGCGAGCAAGTAAGTAGATGGACATTAGAAGGACTATTGCAGGTGAATCTGTTGAGAGAATCAGAATTAAAAATGACAAAGGGGACCAAGAAGCTTGGGTTCAAGTCCCACTTGCTCGAGAGGTGTGTAATAACATCTCTGAATAGGTTGATTAGAAAAACAGGTTAAATTTTTAAAAAAATTAAGAACTAAAAATAATAAAGTAAGGCTGTAATGGTGCAGTGGTAGGATCCCTACTTCTGAACCAGCAGGTCCAGGTTCAAGTTACACCTTCGCCAGAAGTGTATAATAACATCTCTGAGCAGGTTGATTAGGAAAATACCTAAAAACAACAAAGCTATTTTCTTTGAAAGAATGTTGAAGACTCTGAGCTATAAGCCTCCTTCCAGCAAGCTATCAAGTTAATCTAAAGATATGCTGTTTCAACAGCTCCAAAAGCCATTTTAAAATTTTAACCTGCCTGCATCTGACCCTCCTGCCACCTTGGTGAAGGGAAGAAGGTTAACATCAACTCATTATAATGTCAGTATTCATCATGAAAACTAGCAACATTTTTTAAGAGGATGAAAACAGATGTACTTCTTTCCTGAATCCGCCTGTAAGCCATTATCTTTTTTTTATTCACTCACGGGAAGTGGGCATCTCTGGCTAGGCCAGCATTTATTGCCCATCCTTAATTGTCCAGAGGGCAGTCAAGAGTCACCCACATTGCTGTGGATCTGGACCAAGTAAGGATGGCAGATTTCCTTCCCTAAAGGTCATTAGTGAACCAGGTGGGTTTTTCTGATAATTGACAATCGGTTTATGGTCATCATTAGATGACCATCATTAAATCATCAGTAGATTCATGGTCATCATTAGATCCTTAATTCCACATTCTTTATTTTAGTCGAATTCCATCATCTGTCATGGCAGGATTTAAACCCAGGTCCCCAGAACATTAGCTGAGTTTCTGGAGTCGAACGATAATACAGCCAGGCCAATAATCTTGAAGCTTTCCATCTTACACTCATCAGGCCAGTATTGCAAGAATGTCAAATTTTAAAGGGAACAACACTTATATTGTAAGTGACAAGGATGCTAATTTTCTGGCAAGTGGATCCCACTGTAGTTGAGGAGTTGCCATGAAGAATATATATATGTGTAGAAGATGTTTCCACTGGTAAGAGATGCTAGGATCCAAGGACATAGCATCAGAGTGGAGGGATGACCATTTAGAACTGAGATGAGGAGGAATTTCTTAAGCCAGATTTGGTGAATCTGTGGAACTCGTTGCTGCAGAAGGTTGTAGAGGTCAAGTGATTGAGTGTACTTAAGACAGAGATAGATATGTTCCTGACAAGCAAAGGGATCAAGGGTTATGGGGAGAAGGCAGTAGAATGGGTTTGAGAAACATATCAGCCATGATGGAATGGCAGAGCAGACTAGTTGGGCTGAATGAACAAATTCTGCTCCTATATTTTAAAGTCTTATGGTCTTACCCTTCCAGAGTAAAGAGGTAGACTGAGCACTTTTCAGGTCTGAAAATGGGCCTCAGGCCCATTCCTGAGTTTGTGCAGTATGCAATGAGCAATGATTTGATCGAGATAGTCATTATCCTGCAGGTTTGCATTGAACTTGTGAAGACTGTATCTTTTTTATTTTCTGTATTTTTGATTGGGACTGAAATTGGAAATGACTACCTTGAAACCTAAGGATTGTGGAAGGAATTTCTGCTCTTTTTAAAGCAGGTCATTGGCGCAAATTGTAAGTATTGTTTACACTGGTATTTATTCAAGTATTTGGAGAGGTTAATACAGCCAAAATGTGTAAGGCATGTGTACGAAGGGAAATTCAGCCAGATGTGATGTGGTGACCAGCCTTTTGCCTGCCAACAACTGTCCCCCTATGCCTCCGGGGCGGCACGGTGTTTCAGTGGTTAGCACTGCTACTTCACAGCACTAGGGACCTGGGTTCGATCCCACCTTTGGTTGACTGTCTGTATGGAGTTTGCACATCCTACCTGTGTCTGCGTGGTGTCCTCCAGGTGCTTTAGTTTCCTCCCACACTCCAAAGATGTGTTGGTTGGATGGATTGGTCATCCTAACTTGCCCATAGAGTCTAGGGACGTGCAGGCTAGCTGGATTAACCTTGGGAAATGCAGGGTTATAGTGATAATGTAGGGCATTAGGTCTAGGTGGAATGCTATTTGGAAGGTTGGTGTGGACTTGATGTGCTGAATGGACTCAATGTGGGGATTCTATGATTCCTGCAAGCAAGTGAAAATAATTGGAGAAGAGAGATTGAAGAGCAGCAAGCCAAAAGGATCATTTCAACAAGTGCTGTGGATAGTGGTCGTTAGTCATTCCCAGATTTTCCCTTCACTTAACACCAATGAGGTTTTTTTTCTTATGCCTATCTGAAAAACTGGAGGGTATAGGTTTAAGGTGACAGGGGAATGATTTAAAATGGACCTAAGGGGCAACTTTTCTCATGCAGATGGTGGTCATGTATAGAATGAATTGCTAAAAGAAGTGGTGGAGGCTGGTATAATTACAATATTTAAAAGGCATCTGGATGGGTAAATGAATGGGAAGGGTTTAGAGGGATATGGGCCAAATGCTGACAAATGGGACTAGATTAATTTAGAATATCTGGTTGGCATGGACGAATTGAACCGAAGAGTCTGTTTCCATGCTGTACATGTCTATGACTCTGTGACTGTGTGTGTAAGTGGAGTTTTACAAGGGAATTAGAGTTGTAAGTAATAGAATTATGTTAACAGTTCATAGTCATTTACATGGGTCTAATTTGGGGAATTTTTGATAAAACCTTTAACTTTTGTGTTGACTCTGAGAATAGCACGACTCGATTTGCCGCACACTACCTCAGTGAGGCGTAACAATGTGGCCTGTATCACCATCAAGCTTGCATGCTGAGCAAATGGCTCAGACCTTGTTTACAAAGCTGATGAGAGGCCAATCATGTAGTTCATGGACCAGTGGCAGTCCCAACACATACACTGAACATGATGGCTGGCCAGTGGCAGTGGCTTCAATTGTATTTCTCTTTGTACAGAAAACAAAAGGTAATATTGTATACATTTTTAATGTTTCTTCACATGGATGAAGGTTGATCATGTGGAGGTTAATGATAGTCCACACAATGTTACTACAGGCACAAACAGTTCCAGATTTACATCTGTGATTCTATGATTCTATTAATTTGCCAAACAACAGGGAGAGGATAGGGGAATGGGGCTATCTAAATTGTTCTTAGATGACCACAATGGACTGACGGGCTGAACAGCTTTCTTCTATGCTGTAACCATTTTTGTGCACTAACAATTTATCTGTGATTTAGGATTTTTTTCGGCTGATTAATTCTATTGATGGAGATATTAGGGGTTTTGTCTGCTCGATGGAGAGCCAGCAAGAGACCTGTGTTGCACTCTCTAAGAAGGGTCCCGGTATTAAGTGTCCCTATGTGACGACAACAAATCTTTTCCACAATTAAGAACGCTATGGACAGAAATCCCAGCTACTGAGATCTGTGATAAATCAGAGGCCAACATCTGTCCTGAACGGTAATACACCTGGGGAGGCTGTGGCTGCCTCTAAACCTACCGAAGGCTTAGGATCAAGCAGTGACCCACGCTGCAAATAAGTAATGAGAGGAGATGTTTCTTAAGCTAGGGGTTACAGGCAGAGGAATTTAGGGGATGAGCAGCAAGAGCTGGTGTTAGGCTCTCAACAATTCTTGTTATTATATCCCACAATCAGGCAGTGAGTGCCCTTAAACAAGGGACACCGCCCCCTTCCAAGAGACAGTCTAATCACCATCCTTTGGCATTCAGTGGTATTACTATCACTGAATCCCCCATTGTTAACATCTTGGACTAGCAACTTAACTGGACTTGCCATATAAATGCAGTGCCTGCAAGACCAGGTCAGGGGCTAAGAATCCTGCAACAAGTAACTCATCTCCTGACTTCCAAAAGCCTATTCACCATCTACAAGGCACAAGTCAGGAGAGTGATGGAATTCTCCCCACATCCTTAGATGAGTCCAGCTCCAATGATACTCAAGAAGCTTGACACCATCCAGAACAAAGCAGCCCTCTTCATTGGCACCACATCCACAAGCATCCGTTCACTCTACCACTCACATTCAGTAGCAGCAATGTGTACTACCTACAAGATGCGTTGCAGAAATTCACTAAGGTTCCTTAGATTGCACCTTCCAAATCCATTAACACTTCCATCTAGAAGGACAAAAGGCAGCAGATACATGGGAACACCACTGCCTACAAGTTCCACCCCAAGCCACTAACTGTGCTGACTTGGAAATATATCCTTCACTGTCACTGGGTCAAAATCATGGAATTCCCTCCCTAATGGCATTGTGGGTCTATCTACAGCACATGGACTGTTGTGGTTCAAGAAGGCAGCTCATCACCACTTTCAAGGGCAAGTAGGGATGGGAAATAAATGATGGCCAGCTAACACTGCTCATGTCCTATGAGTGAATAAATAAAACAGAATTAGTTCAGGTGCAGAAATTTAAAGGTCACTGACAGAGGGCTTGCAGGCAGGGGCACTCATAAAATTCCCTAGGTGACTTTTCTGCCACCCTTCGGCATGCACGTCCCTTTTCTCTTCAGCAGAGACCTAGTGCTTCTGCCCCTCCCTCCAATGGAGACACTTAGGAGGCCAATTATGGCCACAAGGGCTGCTTTTTACCTGCCCTCAATTTTGAGACTCGTGGTAGGAGTACGGGAATCGGGGAGAGGTGTTGCTTTAGCCCACAAGTCACCAATGTCCTTTAGGGAAGGAAATTGCCATTCTTGTCTGATCTGGTCTACATGTGACTCCAGGTACACAACAATGTAGTTGACTATTAACTGCCATCTGGTAATTAGGGATGGGCAATAAATGCTGGCCTAGCCAGCAATGCCCACATCCCACAAATGAATAAAAAGAAGTCATGCTGCTGAATTCTCAAGTGGGAAGGCAGTCATTTCCTCTCTTTCATGTGCCATAACAAATTAATTCTCCCCTTACTGGGACTACAGAATTGTCTGACAATAAAATTGGCTGTCAGCTGTCTGAGGTAGGATTGCATCTTGAATGGTGGGGTGAGGGGTCTTGAAGTCTCACCACTAGTCAGTTGGAACATTAAATGACTGTGGGAAACCCAGCATTGGTGGTCTTGCTTTCGAGTGGCTTTAGAAATTTTGCTATTCATCCAGTTCTACCCAAGTGCTTTTCTACTTTCTGGAAATATATGTCACGTATTGGTCACTTTGTGTATAAATGTATTTTCCTGATATCAGTTCTAAGATTATCATTTACCAATTTGAACTCGTGTCTCCTAATTCTACTCCCACACATTAGTTTACCATCATAATAAACTTGTAAGTCTTTATCAGATCAGTTCTTGGGCATCTCTATTCCATTCTGAAAAGCACTATTTCTATCTTTCCTTGCAATTCACACTTATTGTGTTAGTTAGTGGTAGTGATACATTATTTCGGGCTTAAACCACTTTCGTATGCAAGGACTTCATGTTATTTGACCTGGCACTTACTAATTTCCCACCTATTAGGTTGAGAGAGGAACTTACACAGTGTTTCACCTCCTGGTTGGTTCCCCAACTGACTGTGAATAATGCCACTGCAAGCTTGCCCCATTAATGAGAAAGAAGTAAGGAGAACAAATAAAATATAATTAAGCAATGTGTTATTCTAATATTTAGTAAACCAACGTTTTGCATAATGGGGTGTGGTAAGTGAAAATTTAATCTGTAAGCACTAATTGCTGTTGTGTTACGTTGGAAAAGACTTAACAGTGATTAGGAACTTTCATCGATGGATTGAATAAATAACAAGGAAAACAGAAAGTGGACCGAAAATTGACTATGATGTTGATTAATGTGATTGAATGTGACTGGAAATGCATATAATTTTGGTAAATCATTGCATATCAACGTGACGCTTTTAGATTTCCAAAATAATACTATGAAATACATAATAATTTCAGAGGTTAATCTGGAAGTGCTGTTCTTGTGCTCCCATGAGTACAGTGAAAAGTTTACAGGTTGCCACTTATGACGCCATCTTAGGTACAAAGGTGCCTAGGTACAGGATTATAGTTACAAAGCAGAAAAAAAAATAAGGTAAACAAAGTTAAAAAGTTAAACATTACAGTCCTTCTTAACAAAAAGTAGAAAAACAAAGAAACATATTGCTAGTAAAGGTAATTTAAGGATTATGTATTTTGAGGTCTCATACTTGTTTCTGTTGGTAGTTTACACAAGCATCTTGTTGAACATTTGAATGCAGAGATTATACTGAATACAATCACTGATGTCAATGTTGCTTTGGAGTGGATACGATCAACATTTCTTTACATAAGAGCTTTTAAAAATCCAAACCACTATGGTAAGAATGAAGCTTCCTAAAGTTGCATTTTACATTACAACATTATTTTTTCACTGCTTGGATTTTTAATTCATATCTTTGCCAGATTGACAAGACTAAAATTCTGTTTCTGCCAGTCGTCATGATCCAATATACAATGAGTTTGAGAAATCTCAACTTAGTTTGTAATAGATGTACATAAACTCGCTCTCAAAGGAATGTCTTATAAAAATACCAGAAATAGTGTTAAATCTGAGGATTGGGAGATGTTTGGGACCCAACAAAGAAGTACTGTAGAACTAATGAAGGAAAGACAAAAAATATTAGTAATCGATGTTTACTGAGGAGCAGAAGGTGAACTATAAAAGCTTCTGTCGATATATGAAAGGAAAAACTATTCGCAAGGATTACGTAATCCCATTGCAGATGGGACAGGAGAAATTACAGCGAAGAATAGGGTAATGGCAGAGAAACTGTGTTTGTCTTTATGGACAAAAATACAGAAAATCTCCCAGAAATTCTTGGCAACCAAGAGATGTGCATAACTAGAGAGATCAAAAAAATTAGTATTAGTAAAGAGGTAGTATTGGAAAAATCAGCTGGATTGATGGTTGCTATATCTTCTAATCCAGGTGAGCTTCATCTCAGAGTGTTGAAGGAAGTAGCAATAGAAATAGGTGTATTGGTGGTGATCTTTCATAATTATATAGATTTTGGGGAAGTTGCTGCTGAATGGAAGATGGCAAGTGTAACCCCCTGATTTAAAAAGGAAGGGACAGTGCAAAACTGTAGACCTCTTAATTTGACAGTAGAAGAGAAAATATCAGAATCTATTTTAAAGGATGTGATCATGGAATATTTTAGAATGGCAAAATTGGACAGAGTCAACACGGATTTATGGAAAGGAAGGTGGTAAGAACTGCTGATGCTGGAGTCAGAGATAACACAGTGAGGAGCTGGAGGAGCACAGCAGGCCAGGCAGCATCAGAGGAGCAGGAAAGTTGATTTTTTGAGTCGGGACCCTCGAAGAAGTGTCCCGATCTGTAACGTCAACTTTCCTGCTCCTATTATATATGGAAAGGAAACTATGTTTAACAAACGTTTTGGGAGGTTTTTTTTGAGGATGTTGCCTGTTGCATGACAGAGGGGAATGAGAGCATGTAATATATTTTCGGATTTTCCGAAAGCTTTGGATCATGTTCCACATAAGTGGTTACTGAATAAAATTAGAGCACTTGGGATTTGGGGGAAAATACTATAAAGCAGTTGTAGGATCATTCTCAGGAAAGCAGACTGTTACAAATGGGATTCTGCAAAGATCAGTGCTAGGTCCCCAACTGTTTACAATCTATATTAATGATTTGGAAGTGGGGACCATTGTAGTATTTCCAGATTTGTGGATCACACCAAACTGGGTGCAAACATAAATTGTGAGAGGATGCAAAGAAACTTCCAGACGACATTGTTGAGGTAAAGTTGCCATAGTCTTACCAGACCACAGGGCTGCTCTCTGATTAGAGAGAGATGACTGGTGATGATTTAACATGAGGATCACCACACCTGAGGTGAGAGGAGAGGTTGAGATAGAGAATCCTTTATGCTAACTTCAGCCAGTACAGGAATTGTGCCCACACTGTTGACATCACACTGCATCATAAACAGCATTCCAGCCAATAGAGCTAAACTGACCCCCTCAGAAGGGTATAGGCCATCTAGGCGAATGACTAGAACATGACAAATGAAATTTAATGTGAGTATGTGTGCAGTTATGCCCTTTGGTCAAAAAAAAAACAAAGATAGGGAGCTGAATCTTATGATTTTTGGCTAAGTCCAACTTGTATTTAGTTTTTTTGGAGGGTTTTTTTTAAACCACAGGGTTGATTAAGTTCTCTCACTATATTTAGCAAATGCAGTTTTGCATTAATTACCTCCCAAGCCCCTGTGGTGTCTCTCACTTCCGTTTCTAGCCCCATTCTTATCATGCACCATTCCCAGAAGAACTCATACCTCAGTAGATAGCCACTGAAAGACTGGCATCCCTTGTACCTATGCCATCTTTAAAAGGCCACTGTGCATTGCATCAGGACATGTGCTGGCATTTCAAAGCTGTCCTGCTGATTGATAGACTGAATCTTAACATGACTGAGAAGAGGAGGATGGCAGAATGATTCTTCAACAGGGACCTGGAGATCCTAGTGGACGCAAAAGAGAGGAGTCATTTTCCTAGAGGACCAGCAGAGAATGCTGCATGACCAGATCCTGACAGCATGGACTGAGGTTGCCACCTTAGTCAGTTCCATCTCCATGGTGTGAAGGAATAGCCAGCAGTGCCATAAGAAAGTCAGAGAATTGTTGGGCCAAGGTAAATGCTATAATTTTGCTATTTGTCAAATGCTATTTGTCTCCTTACAATCACTCTGTCTCTGCTATTGCACTCATCTCCACTTAGGCTCATACACTTGCCACTCCCACTTTTACCTGTAACATCTTCATTCACTTCACCCCAGTGTCCTAAACCAGTAAGCCTACATGCCTTTTGTGCTGCCAAAATAACTCCCTGGGAATACCTCACGACCTTTCTATTTAGTTGCACCAGCACTAACAGCTGTGTCACCCACTTTTACATCACTCAATCACTGGCTTTCTCTCATTACAGAAGAAGACAATCCATAACAGTGTAGAGCAAGTCCATTTGGGTGGAGGTGCCTGACATTCAGAGATAATCTTGGCCCTTGCAAGAGAAAAGTAGGACCACTCCTGCAGAGATGCAGAAACATCCATGTCCAACTGAGTATGTACCCACTCTTCATTCTACTGCAAATTTCATAGAGTCATACAGTATGGAAACGGACACTTTAGTCCAACTGGTCCCTGTAGACTAATTTTCCAAAATTAAACTGTTCCCACTTGTCTGCATTTGGCCCATATCCCTCCAAACTTTTCTTATTTGTGACCTGTCCAAATCTCTTGTTGTAACTGTAGCTGCATCTACCACTTCCTCTAGCAGTCCATTCCCTATACAAACCACCTTCTGTGTGAAAACGTTGCCCCTCAGGACCCTTTTAAATCCATCACCTTAAAAATATGCCTCCTAGTTTTGAACGTCCACACCTAGGGAAAAAGACCTTTGCTATTCATCTCATCTATGCCTCTCATGATTTTATAAACCTCTATAAAGTCACTCCTCTGTCAGTCTTGTTCATTTCACAATGCTTCAAACCATTGGCCATGACACCTTCTCTCTTGTGCCCTACAGGTACCAGCGGGATGTCCAAGCCCTCTGCCCAAAGCCATCTTGTTGACCTCTGGGGAAGAAAGTTCTGAGGCCTCAAAGGCAACATTGGTAACGCAGCGTCCTGCACTCCCTATCAGTTTAGATACTAACAGCTTGTTAGTACATTAGGCTTAGAGAGTATGCTAGCACAATCTGGCAAGCACCTCACTATGACAGCTCCACAACTAGGTAAGGAAGGAACGTCCTAGATGGCAGGCTACAAACCTTCTTACTTGGAGGACTGCCAGAGACCACAGCAGCAGGCAGCTGTGAACCATCTGGCATTGGCAATTTGGGACTTCATTGACATACACAGGGAGGAACAGGAGCAGCAGAAAGGTAAGAAGTATGCAATGATTCTCGTTGCCCAAAAGCTGCACCAGTGGAGCGAGTCATGCAAATAAATGAATGAGGAGCAAGAGTAGGCTACTCGAATCTTTGACCCTGCTCCACCATTCAGTAAGATCACGGCTGATCTGGTTATAACCTCAACTCTACATTTCTGCATATCCCCAATAATTTTTCATCCCCTTGATAATCAAGAATGTATCTAACTCTGCCTTAAAAATTTTAAAGTGGAGGTTGTCTGCCTCCGTGGATAGGTTAGCAGCCTACATGGAGGACCATGTGCAACAGCATCAGATGCAATTGTGAGATTGATGTAGCACACTGCCATACAGCAAAATATGCACTCCCTTAACTGAAGACTGCTGAGCAGCAAGGAAACCTGTATAACTGTACTAATTGGCTTGGCAAGGCAAAGCGTGGATGGTGCTAGCATGCAGCTAGGCATTATGTGAGTGAGCACTAAGACAGCAAGTGAGTATCTTTGAGAGACAACCTGGTCCAATCTGTGAGCCTGTCCATGCATGCAAAGTGTGTCTGCTGCAGTGTTTCAATATTAGTTGCCAGTGGCCCCCCTGCAATGCAAGTCTCTGCTTCCACAGCACACTGCCAGTGTATCAGAAGTTCCATGATGGTTTGAGGATTTGGGAGATGCCAGATGCCATTGTCCATGGAAGAGGTGTTTGTGCAGCTGGTGCCTGTGAGTTGTGTCCTAGGCTGCAGTCTGAGTTTTTGCAACTTTGCAATTTTCAGAGCAAGCTATGAGCTGAATCCACCAGGTACACAATTTGGATTTCATGTTGAATTTTAAAGTTCTTACAGTGCATAACAATGGATATAGACAGGATGTTTTCCATGTCTGGCAACTCTGGAAGGGGACTTAATCTCAGGATAAATGACAGCTGTTTAAAATTGACATGAGGAGGAATGTTTTCACTCAGAGGATGGTGAATATTTAGAATAGCTTTCTGGAGCCTAATGATTTTAAGGGATCTGGAGATAGAGCAGGAATGTGGCATTGGAGAGGTGGTAAACCATAATCTAGAATTGCGGGGTTGGCTCGATGAAATGAATGGCCTACTCCTCATGTGTTCCACTAATGTAGAATTTTAGTAAGTTACTAAAAATGCTTTTTGTGAGAAATGAAAGATTTCAAATTGGTAGAGAGGAGATATATTTCTAAAGTTGTAATTGGTCTACTTTATAACTGTCAGCAGGAATCATCTCATCATGCTGGTATACTGGATCTGAGACTTTTGATAGGGGATGCAAAATAAGTATTCCATATTGCTATATGAATGACTCCAACTATGATGAGCACAAAACTTCACAAAGATATAAATTCTGCGTCTTATTTGTTGACTCATTAAATACGTTTTTTTTGCACACTGATCAAGTGATAGTTTTTTGTACAGTGGAGTTGGGGAGATTCATATAACCATAACCACAGTTAACGTTGCACATTCATAGAGAGTATTAAGTTATTTTTATTAAGTACATTAATCTTCTGTTAACAGACTAATATTAATCCCAGAAAATTTTACCTGTGGTCTAATAGTTACTAACTTTAATACCAACTGAACATCCGACTACTATTTCACATGATCTATGATCCTTCTTTTTATGGCAGAGATATGGAAAATGAATGTCATGATTTCAAACATAACAACTGTCTGTTTTTCCGAGGTTTTGCGACTGGACAAGGTAGAACTGGAATTGAAACCAAATTACAAGGTAGTCAGGTTACTTTTAATCCTTTCTTTCCCAATGAAAAGCATTAAAAAAAAACCTGTTTACCAACTTTAAGTGTTTGAAACAAATATCACTTCCAACTTAACGGTGTAACACTGATGATATTGGATAAGCTACCGGTTACATCTGTCCAATTTTGCTTTGCATTTAAGTCAGAGTTCTATCCATAAACCCTGTAGTTCCTTAACCAATTAAGAAAAGTGTTCTGGTGTTTTGGCAATTCTATTATTTAATGTAAAATTGTGTGCTCACTTAATTAGTTGATAGAAATGAAAGTCACCCATTTTTATGCTAGTGACAGTTTTTTCCAAAAGTTGAAAGTGATTTTGATGTGGTTTGTTGATAACATAGCAGCCTTGGCTCAGTGGAAGAACCCATCACTAAGTCGGGTTATGGATTCATGTCCCATTCCAGAAATTTGAATATCTAACCCGGTTGACACTTCAGTGCAGTAGTGAGGAAGCTGTGCTTCCTTCACTACAATAATGACTATAATTTGAAAGCATTTCAATGGCTGTGAAGTGCTTTGGGACATCCTGAGGTCATGAAGGGAAGTATATAAATGCAAGTCCTTTCTTATATATCACAATAGCTGATTGTGTCATTTCCTGGCACCTAGCAGGAGGCTTAAATACACACCAACTTTTGTTTTCTCCATCATGAAAAAAACATTGGTTTGGATTTCTGCAAGCATTGTGTGCACCAGAAATATATATTGAAAAACTCCACAGTCCTGTGTGAATTCCTGAACCAAACACAATCTTTTACTTAATACTACATTTATTATAGACTGTAACATTACATCTGCCTGATTCCTGCCTAGTCAGCCGCCCAGCTGTTGCTGTTTATACCCTGATATGATCCTGGACCAGACTGCCAAATTTATATTATGATCTGCTTAGGCACCTATAACTTACTTTTAGATGTAGACGAAAAGTGAGATGCAACAGATTTAATGAGAGAATAAACCCACAAAATTCCACATTTTTAGGCAAACAACAAGACTTTATTGTATAAGTTGGAACAGTAAAATAATCTACAATACAGGTACAAATTACTCCTAATATCCAGAATTAATATGTGGCAGACATGGTGTAGTGATTGTAATGAAGTCAGCCAGCTGGACCTCATAGAATATGAGTTCCCTGATTAAGGCTGTTAATCTGGTCTAATCAGGGAGCCCTAGCTGACAGATAAAAAGGGTGGTGTCAGAGATACCGACAGTCTGAAAGCTGACTCTGAATGAGGCAGTACTCGAGTCAATGACTGTTCATGCATAAATAAAGGGTGACTTAGTGACAGGATACTGGTCTCTGTGGAGTTATATCAGTGGCAATAAGAGTAAAGCATGTTCCTGAAGAAAATTGCTCACAACAATCGTCTTTGAGTTCCAGTAGGCATTTCTCACATCATACCTTTGTTTGGGAAGCTTGATTCATTTGACCCTGCAGTCAAGGACTGGGCCCAGTACGTGGAACGAATGCATTATTTTATTTAGGCAAATGACATTGTGGCAGACAAAAAGCAATGAGTAATTTCCCTGACAGCCTATGGAGCCTCACTTTCTCTGAGGCACCAAATACTAAAACCTTTCAAGAATTGACAGACATAGTTAAGGAATATTGTGACTCCATGTCTCCTCTTATTCTGAGATGCTATCGTATTTCCTCAGCATTTCGAGAACCAGGGGAATCAGTGCTGGATTTTTGACTAAATTAAGATGACTGGCAGAAGCCTGTGACTTTGGTTTAACCATTAATGAGATGCTTAGAGACCATTTGATATGTGGGTTTAACAAAGTAATTATGCAAAAATGCCTATTAGCTGAAGCTCAACTGGACGTCAAACAGGCAGTACAGCTGGCTTTATCATTGGAAAATCGGCAAGTGTAGCATACAAGTTGCAGGGCATTCCAATGGAAGTGGACACTCTCACAAGTCTGATTAAGGTTGGGCAACACCACTTGAGTGCAGTTAATTGCATAGCCTTACTTAGGACATATCCTAATCAGAGGGATTCTAGGTCATCCCACAGCAAAACCCTAAAATAAAGCCAATCCTCGGCCAAACAGTTAAAATTTTCTTCAGGACCCTGGCCAGCAAGCCATTGTAGTTGCTGCTGGTATGATGATTTGAGGCAGCTAAAGTGTCCTACTAGACCTAAATCGAGTAAGATAACTCATAGGCTGGTGCCCAGAGAGTTCATACCTTGGAAAGTCCACTTACGTCTAGTTTGGAACAGTTAAATTACTTAGCAACATCAAAGTCAGAACCAATCAAAATAAACATTTGGTTAAATGGTCATCCAGTTCTAATAGAGGTTGATACCGGCGAGGCCATTTCAGTGTTTGCAGAACCAGTTTTCAACAAAATTTGCTTTGAACTCCAGCCCTTAAATTTGAGCAAGACCTTAGCTAGGCTAAGAACCTATACCAGGGAACCATTACAGATTAAAGGTACAACTCTGGTTCCGGTCTCTTATGAAAAGCAGCTAGTTCAGTTCCCAGTGATTGTCGTAAAAGCTCAGTCCCAAGCTTGATGGGACGAGATTGGCTGTGAAAGATTCACCTAAGTTGACTCAACATTTTTCAATTAGAAAATGGCTGCCTGAATGAAGGCCTAATTAAATACCTGGAAGTCTTCCAGAAAGGTCTGGGAACTGTCAGAGGAGCCAAGACAACCTTGCATGTTAACTAGGAAACAATTCCATGATTCTACAAAGCCCACCCAGTGCAATTTGCCTTAATTAGAAGGCTAGAAAGTGAAGGAATCATCAAACCAGTCCAGTTTGTGAAATGGGCAGCACCAGTCATACCAATTTTGAACCCCAGCTTTGCCTTTGTGGGGATTTTAAACAGATGGTAAACAACTTTTCGTATCTGGATAAATACCCAATCTGTCACATGGAGGATTTACATGCAAAGCTGACGGGGGGGGCAGGAGCTGTTTTTCAAAAATCTGGACATGAGCCACACGTACTTGCAATTTCAGTTAGATGAGGATTCCCAGAAGTATGCTACAATTAATACCCATAAGGGCTTGTACCAATATGTGAAACTGCCGTTTGGGATATCGTCCGCCTGTGCAATTTTTCAGCAGATGATGGAGAACAATTTGCAAGGTCTACTTCAGGTCAACATTTACCTAGATGATTCTAGTAACAAGGGAAAACAAATAAGGAGCACTTAGAGAACATGGACACAGTCCTAAAGTGTTTTTCCAAGGCGGGTGTACGCGTAAGAAGAGAAAAATATCTGTGCCAGGTCCCCAGTGTGACTACTTGGGCTACAGAGTCGACAAGACCCAGTTGATTGGAAGATAAAGTGAGGACGATCAAAGGTGCCTTAACTCCCACGTCTGGCCAGAAGCTTAGATCATTTCTAGATTATTATAGAAAGTTCATACATAACCTGGCCTCTAGCCTGGCACTTATGCATCAACTCCTAAAAAAGGGTCAGCCTTGGAAATGGTTGCTTAGACAAGCCCTAACTTTCAGTGAAGTAAAGAAACAGCTATCATCCTCTAGGGTGTTGGCAGACTATGATCCCAAGAAAGATCTGGTATTGACATGCAATGCCTCCCCGAATGGCATCAGGGTGGCTTTAGCTCATAGGTGGCCCAATGGAGAGGAACGCCAAATAGTATATGCATCAAGGACTTTGGCTAATGCAGTGTGTAAATATGCCCAATAGAGAAAGCAGTCGTATTTGGAGCCAGGAAGTTCCACCAATACCTTGACAGATGAAAATTTGTGATAATGACAACCTGAAGCCCCTACTCGGTCTGCTTAAACTGGACAAGACAGTGCCACCCATAGTTTTAGGCTACATTCAGTGGTGGGCTCTAATACAAAATGCTTATAATTACAAGTTAGAACACTGCCCAGGAGGCCGAGTAGCAAATGCGGATGCATTGAGCTGCTTCCCATTAACAGGTACACCACTGGTGGCATCCCCATTGGAACAGTCTGTAACTATTAAATTTTCTGGACATGCTCCCAGTCACAGCTTACAATATGAGACTTTGGATGCAGAAAGATCCAGTCCTTTCAAAACTGAAACAACTGGTTGTGATGGAGAAACCCAAAGGCCATCACAACTAGAATTGAAATCTGTTTGGACTTAGAGATACCAGCTCACATTAGAGAATGGCATATTGTTATGGGGAGCAGGAGTGATTGTCGTGAACAAAGGTTGCTGCCAAACACTGGCTGAACTCCACCAGGGTCATCCAGGGGTCTCCAAAATGTTGGTGAGAAGTTATGTGTGGCAGCCAGGCCTGGATGCAGACATAGCCATGTTGGTGAGGCAGTGCCCAGACTGCCAACAAGGACAAAAATTACCACCAGCGGCTCCCCACACCCATGGGAATGGCTGGGTAAACCCTGGCTCAGTTGCATGTTGACTATGCATATCTTTCATGGATTCAAAGTTCTTAATCATTGTGGACGTGAGGTGAAGACCAGTGACGTATAAAGTTTGGGTAGGTACAGCAGTCCTGAACAAGCATGTAGACCATGTGAAAGCTGTAAATTTGCAAACAGTATGGGAGCCAAACATGCCCTGTCCCTTGTAGCAGTTGGAAAGGCTGCCAAAACACATGGGTTCATCCTCTCCCTCAAGAGTTGATAAGCCCTCAGAATCTGGGATGGTCATGATGGATGTAGCTGCCTTGACAGCTTTGCCTACGGAGGATGAGTGAAATTCTATCAAGGTGCTCCAAGCATGAGATGAGCTCCCATATGTTACACATGGCCTGTATCAGACACCAAGACAGAGGACCGTGACCTGGTGCTAAAATGCCCTAAGAGGCTATCCAAGTAAAAGGACTGGCCTATGTCCTTGGACTGAGAGGGTGGGGGAGATGTAGTGATTGTAACATAATCAACCAGCTAGACCTTATAGACTATGAGTTCCCTGATTGGGGCTGTTAATCTGATCCAATGGCTGACATATAAAAAGAGGAGTGTAAGAGATACTGACA